CATCACCATCACCATCACCATCACCATCACCATCACCATCACCATCACCATCACCATCACCATCACCATCACCATCACCATCACCATCACCATCATCATCATCATCATCATCATCATCATCATCATCATCATCATTATTTTCATTATTACTTCTTTCTTAGCTTAGTTATTGCCCGGAAGCCTACTCGCTGAGACGTGCAATTATGTAAGCATTAACCATTCTTAAACTTAAAAGCTGGCGCTTTGGAAATGTTAAAGTGATTTTACTTAACCCTTAAATAACGTAGTAGAATAATAGACACTATTACGCACTTATTCCATTGTCTCCTATCGTTTACCTCTCGCTATTTTTGCACTTAACTACTAGTATCTGTTTCACGATTCAAGTAAAATCACTCTAACTGCAATATGCATTTGAGTACGTCACAATAAATAATTAATTAGCACCCTTTCAAACAATTGAAAAGAAACCTATTCTATACCCTTTACTTAAATATAAATACATCAAAAGTGGTTCGCTTTTTGTCAAGTTTTCTTTTATCGGCTAAAGTCAGTGGCAGAAATTAGTCCCAGTGGTAAAGAACGAATCTTACACAATCCTTCTCACGAAAAGCTTCTAGTGAGTCTCCGTTTGGATTCTAGTGCATAGATGACATTGTTTACACGAACAAAAGATGTAGCTAGATACCTGAAGCCCTTATTTAGTTTATCACATCAAAGTTTAATGTAATAAGTGGAAAGTTGGTCTATCTAAAGATATCTTTAAGTGCTCTGTCAAAATTTCCTCAGAAAAAAAAAGGAAAAAAAAAAAACATTTCAGAGAGCAAAAAGCCAAAGGGAATTTGCGAGATTATAAAAAGGCTTTCTGCAAAATCAATCCACTCTTATTTCAAACGGGGCTTCGTTAAAAATTGCAACGTAACTTTTTCCACTGAACTCAAATATACGGAAACCTAGACCCGAAACCCATGAAAATCAACGAAGTGGCTCACAAAATCGTGCAGCTTTCACTGAAAAGCCGATTCGCAAATTACAAACTCGTAGAAAACAAAAACAAAATACGAAATGAGAATCCAATTATATTCCCGGATAGCCAGCTGGAAGCGTTACAGTTCGTTTTAGGCCTTTGAAGGCCCTGAAGATATATCTTAAACCCGGGGGGGGAGGGGGTACTCGACCAATAGTTGACGATGGGTGAGCTGCTGAGGGTTTGAAGACCCCTGAGTCTGTTTAGGACAAAACAAAATCCCAAAACACACACCCTGTGTAGGACAACACCCTCAATGTTATTACCTTGTTTAGCACAAAGGAGAAAATGCACGCCGTCTTGTTTTAAGTCATTTATCGGCATTGCTTTTCTATACTTGGAGCACAAACAAATTTCATCAAGCAAATCAAATCAATAGTGCTGGCAATACCTTGTTTAAAATTAGGACAGAGTCGCACAAAATTATATACCCGGTTTACGACAGAGAGGTTAATACCCATACCTGACCAGCGGCACATTTCAGTAAAGGCCATATAAGGCGGCAATCCCCATCCCCCCTTCCCCACCACCCGACCTTAAACTTAAAATTGTGATTTTGAAACCTTTCACAATTTTGTTTTTTTTTATTTGCTTTGTTGAGACGTCTTGGCAGTCTTACCTAAGCTGAGGTATACTCAACAAGTTTTGCACTTTGGCTACGACATTTGTAACAAAAAACCAGGTGTCAAATTTTCTTTTTACAAAAACATGCCTTCAAATAAATCTGGCCACTTTCACACACGCCCCATTTTTTCAAGTTACGCAGCGGTTTAACCTTACCCAAACTTGTGGCACGTCAAATTCCTTTTCCACTGTTGCTCTTTTATGAAATTGAAAATGTCCGTTAGAGTAGCACAAGATCATTTCCCATTAAGGCACGCGAGTTTGAAACGTGTTATCAATCTTCCTTTCTTCCTATTGATCA